GCAGTCGAGTTAAATGCAAATGCTAAAAAGTTTGTGGACTACAGATATTGTTAGATATTGCTATGAGAAAGGAATATAAGTGGTTAGATAGCGGGATTTGACATTGTGTTGACAGCATCGTCGAAATGTATAATTCAAGTACGAGCCACTTTCCTCAATATGCACAGCTAGCCATATGCAGATAGATCCATCACTGTGGACCCAGTACACCTTATAGAAAAGTCTTTTTTTATGATAAAGTTCACGCATGGGCATGAGCACAAGAACGATGGTGCCCAATTTTCGCCTTGGCAGACCAGCACTGCTACCTAAAGCCTTTAATATCAAGAAGGGTGATTGCTAGTTGAAACTAATTAGTGACAGGGAATCATGTACAGCACAATACAATACAACTTGCCACCTATTACACACCCATGTACTGGGAACTGAAATTTGCATATCAAACCAACAGAGAGCTGACAAAAGACACGATCGCTGCCTTGTGGACCTCAGTCACCGCAGCAGCACCTCATCTCTGTCACTACCATCGAACTGTGATAAACGTCATTACACACACTTAGTGGGAACGGAGGTCACTTATTCGAGTTGACCAATAAAATTAATCTGTAATCAATCTACATATCGATTCAGCCTTTCATTCAGCATAAGTGACGGAAACGTGTAAGACCCAGAATTAAAGAGCTCTAACAGACAATCATGCCAAGGAAACTATAGGGGGTGTATTAGAAGTAATTGTAATGTGAATGTAAAGAAAGAAATGTGGATGAAGAGATAACTTGCCATGGGCAGGGGCCGAACCTGCAACCTTCAAATAACGCATCCAATGCTCTACCAACTGAGCTACCACGGTGGCTATCCCCCAATTCACTTTATGGGGCATATATGTCCATTAAGCGTGGGACCGTCAGTCAGCGCCGCCAGTAGCCATGGTGGGGAGTGTGAAACACTTTATCAACCTTTTTAGCATCACGTAGCACGTGAACTTATTGTGAGCTGGCAGCTCACCAATACTTCTTTGCATGCTACCTGAAGGCACCAAGTCTGCCAGAAAGAGGCCTCCGCTACAAATGAAAGAAAGAATTGTTCATTTATGGTCTCGTTTTTCTTTTCATCTACTTTTCTACTTTTGCATTTACATTACAATTACTTCTAATAACATCCGCAATACTTTCCTTGGCATGATTGTCTGTTAGATCTTTTTAATAATGTCTAACAAGAAAAACGAGCCCTTAAATGTATAATTCTTTCCTTGATACATAGTGAGGGTCTCGTTCTGGCAGACGTGGTGCCTTCAGGTATTATGCGAGGAATTAATGGTCAGCGTCCAGCTCGTAATAAGTTCACGTGCTATGTGACGCCAAACAGGCTGATAAAGGGTCTACCACGGTAGCTCACTTGCTAGAGCATCAGATGCATGATTCGAAGGTCGCAGGTTCCGTTTCTGCTCACGGCTAGTTATCTTTTCATCGACTTTTCTTTTTTCACAATTACATAGTAATTCTAGTACATCCCCTATACTTTACGTTGGCATGATTGTCTATTAGATCTCTTTAATGCTACGCCTATGAAGGAAAACGAGCCCTTAAAATGTAAACTGGCAAAAGAGCACAACCACTACCTTTTATTGAGATCCACTGGCCTCGACAAATCGCCAGCGGTGGCTTTTAAACAGCTTACCCGTTAAAAACTCTAATGCTGCCGCTGCGCTTCGTGCAGCAAATCGAATGGGCACTCAGATATAAGGAGGCAGACTGGTCTTAGACGTCTTTTGTTTGTTTCTTCAGTGACCTTGAACAAACTGCACAGGATTATGCAGTTTTTTCTGCTGATTTCAAATATTTAATTAGTTTTCCTGCAACTCATCTTGTTCCTGAGATAGCTTAAGTGCACCCCCTATTGTTTAAAGCCGCCACATAAAAAAAAAGTGCTTATTAGAAATGATATTTAACATATGGCAACATAGACTAATGACTATAGAGTGAAATAATGCAAGAGTTTTTTTGTTTTAGGCTTCTCTTGCAACTACTCATTTTTAAAAGCTGTTGGAATAGTATTAAAGTTTTGATAAGTAATTAACTAAAAAGGCTCATCCTCTAAATTCTACTCCCATAATCGCATTCTGCACACATACAGTTTTCACTGCAGAAAGAATCATTGTTGTACCTGCCCTAGCTGCAGAGATATTAAGGCTACAAAATTGAACAGTCCTAAATTTACTTTTTTGAGAAAAACGGAACAAACTGAAAACACACAGCTTCTTCAAAAAGCAACAATCATGGTGCGCATGTTTTGCAGTCCTCATAAAGGTGCCCATAAATTCGTAGCAGAGCTTCTAACACAGGTGCCGACCAATTATAAAGAAGCCTCAAAGTCGGTTCCCCATTTTTCGCAGGTCTGCATGTTACCATATTTACTAGAATGTAACGAGAGTTTTTTTTCAAAATTTTTCTGAAGTGATTTTGGGGGTCCCCCTTATGATCAAAGCACCTCAAATCGTGCCTTGGTGGTGCCGCCTCACAGGTTCCTTAAAATGGCTACGACAAACCTAACGATCTTTCAACATTGTGCGGGCAACATATGCACACTGGCGAAATCTAATCAAATCCAGTCCAATCCTATTGTTTGGCACGTGCACATGGCGACGTGTTTTGTGGGTGGTTCGTTTCCTTTGTACTTCCACGACCTCGGCTCGAGCAAATAGCAGCGCGACGAGTTCAGTACGAAGCCCACCTTAAGAAAAGTGCAATACTGATAGCTGAGAAAATCGGAAACTCAGCCGCAGCTCGACGGCTAGACGTGGCAGAATCTACCATCCGTGGGTGGAGGCTCCAGCGTGAAGCGCTCTTCAAGAGTGAGCCCAGCCGAAAAGGCTTCCGTGGACCTCGTTGTGGCCGTCAGAGAACTCGAAAAAAAAAAAAAGTGGCGGAGTTTGTGATTGACCAGCGGAATCGCCCATTGGGGGTGAACTTTGAGATGATTCAGTGGAAAGCCCAAGACATAGCTCGATAGATGGGAATCCCGCGGGAGAACTTTAATGCTTCACATGGATGGGCACAAAACTTCATGCGAAGAAATGGATTTTTCCTTCCGGCAAACAACGTCGATAAGGCAAAAGCTACCAGCAGATTGCGAAGCGAGTGGAGTTTCAGCGCTATGTGCTCGACCTGCGCCACTCGTCGCAAATGCCGTTGGGGCACATTGGCAATGCATACGAGACTCTCGTTTTCTTGGACATGCCTACGTCAAGGACTGTCAGCAAAACAGCTGCCCCCCAAGTTCCCATAAGGACAACAGGTAACGAGAAAACGCAACTAACCGTGATGCTAGCCTGCTTGGCGGACGAGCACAAGTTGCCGCCATACATCATTTTACAGCACAAAACCATGTCAAAGGAGCTGTTCTCCAGGGATGTCATTGTACGCTGCCAAGAAAAAGGTTGAATGGACACTCCGCTTATGCTTGACTGGATCAAGTGGTGCTGTTTGCCAGGCGCGCTCCTCCACCCCACCTCCATCTTAGTTCTCGACGACAAATTTCGAAGTCACCTGACACCCGAAGTGATGAAGCTGATGCGGGAAACTCAGCCACAGCTCGCCGTTATCACTATCATGTCGAGCCTGCCACGCGACATGATAGTTCGGGCGCTTAAAAAGTGCTGCATATCGAACTATATGGATGGCACAAAGGAGGACCTCATCTGGGAGGAACAAAGTGACAAAGAGGGCTCGACCACCGGCAATGAAAGCGACAAACGAACAAAACTCGCTTCATATTTAGAAACTGGGATGCCTTTTCCACTACCATGTGCAGCAAATAAAGGTACCTTTTCCCCCACTTTACTCGCATTAAATTTGTGTTCTTTTTTTTTTTTGGCACTGAAAAGTCGCCCCTCGCGTTACATTCGAGTAAATACGATAACAGCAACAAGAATCTGGACAGTTAGAATGACATTATAAAAAAAATTACCACTTCCTGGTGTGTGAAAATTTGCAGAGAGAGAGAGAAAAATACTTGCAGAAAAAAATAAATTTTTTTGTCCCTTTTTGGTCCCAAAGGCCAGTCTGCCCCCTTAATGGGGCACACCACAACGTGAATGCAGAAGTCTATAGGAACCCAGTGGAAGGACAGAACTTCTTGTCAGCTGTAGTGACAACATGCCAGACAATTAAATACAATTCAATTGCTCTCATAATATCATTCTGACCACTTCAAAACGACTGGCACGATACCATTTACATTTAAGCCAGCAGGCCAACAACCACCTAGGCTGACCATAGCAATTAGCGCAGCGGTTGGAATGGAGCCCGCCATACCTGAGGACCTCATTGCAAGATTTATCTGCAATGGAAGTATTGCCTGGTGCCACTTCCCATGTTCTGATGCTATGGTGTGCCATAGCATCAGGACGGCATTATAGCATGGAATATTGACACATACGGTATCCTTTATAATTTTGCGGGTTTGAAATTAAACGCCACTGACAAAGTGCCCTGAAAAAACGTCTCATATGAAGATTTTTTCTTTTGCAATATGATTTAGCTCAGGTTAGGTTATAGGTCCAAAGTCACTTGCCAGTACGACCAAAATGAAAGCACACAATGTTGCCTCCATCACTGCAACAGCAACTATATGAACACTTGAGGTGCACTTTCTTTGTCGTCGTCAGGTTGTGTATAAATTCTGACTTGATAATATTGTCCCGCTCACCATACTTTCTACATCAAAGTGAAAGCGTGCGAGGGTTGTGTAAGGTCGCAGCCCAAACAGGGATCAATCGCGCCGGGCATCTTTTTCGCATAAAAGCACTTGAAGGAGCGCAGGACCAGGGATGCTAGGGCGGCAACTGTAATCTTTCGTAAAAGAGGGCACACCACTCACACCTTTGTATCAATTGTATTTGCTGTGCTCTCATTGATAACTTAACATTGAAACAACAGACAGGGTGACAGTAGCTTTGCTTGGACTTTTCTTTCTATATTACGGCAAATGCAGGGACGTACCTGAACGAACAGCTTGAGGTTCCGTTTGCGTAGCAATTGTTGACAGAATTTTTTCTTCATTTGCTTGTGATTCTTTATGAGAGGCTTGCAGTCGCACTTGAACCGATTTATCCATAATGTGGTTCAGTTGATGCACTGGCTCAGGTGATATTTCCACACAGTGTTCCAAATCACAATTCAGACTGGGTGCCACTTCATGTACTGCCTTTGCTGCAACGTCATTCTGAAATAAATTGGCTTGTGCTGTTGCAAGTGACAATGCCAAAGATTATCGCTAGGAAAACAAATGAAAGCCCTCTTACATGATTTGTTTCAGTGCACTGGCATGTGCCTAGTGGTTACGTCTCCAGAGAGAAACTGTCAATAATCTGAAATGATGCATGAAAAGGCAAGTTACTGACATATACACCACAAAACAGGAACGTATATCAATTATTACAATACACAATTTTCAGGAAGATTTTTAAAAATATAGCGAAACCACTCATATGACTGTGCAGTTGCCTAAACTCTTAAAGATATACTCAGCTTTCTCTGTTGAATTGGCATAATGTTGCTCAGAAAATCAAGCCTATTACATACTTATTGAAACAGTTTCTTTTCAGATGCTTATTTGAATAATGCTGGAGACTGAAAAAATTTTTTGTGGGAATTCATGTTCGTGAGACTGAATATAAACCACATATTTAACTATTACTTGAATTCCTTTCAACCTGAAAAAAAATTCCCCACTTTTATAGCTTTTTTTTTAATAAGAATGAAACACTTTTGAATGAATGAATGCTTCTTTATTTTTCTAACTGCTAGAGAAGATAGCAAGCGCACTGTGTCACAGGCAGCAATGCAATAAAAGGCAAGACACAGGAGGAGGAACAGGAAAGAAATCTGCTGAAAATCCATGGACAAGTGGGGCAATATTGCATGAAAAAGAAAACACACAACTACGATGAATATATTAGCCATTGGTTCCATGTGCAAGCATTTTTTGTTGATGACAAGTATATTCATGATTGGTCTTTTTGCTAGATGTGTGGCTTTTGGAGCGAGCCTTAGCCAGCCCCACCCTCAAAAATAAGCTTCAGCTGGTGGAGAGGGCTGTCGTTGCGGCAAAAGCCTATGGTTTTCTGAGAAGGGGGAGACCACCTTGAAGACGCTTAAAGAATAGCGAAATGAAGACATTTATTTTCTCTCTTTCTTTTTTTTTTTTAATATGTCCCCACAACTATGCCCATCAACGGTCGCAAAAGGGTTCGTGAATGGATAAAATAAGGAGCCCCAACTTGTGCTGCCCTCTAAAGTTTAAAATTGCAACTTATATAACTTGTCTATTGCACTGGACACAATTGTTTTTAAGGAAACGAGTGGCAACAAGTTCCTTGATTGTGTTGCTAGTAAACTTTTCCAGCAGTTTTTGGAACATTTGGCATTGCAATAAGTGTAGAAGTTTTTGCTACTGCTGCAAAACCTTTCAGCACATCTATTGAAAGTACTCATAATTTAAAGGCACAAAAGAAAGGGCAGTACCGAGGAAAGAAACTAACTTACCGCAGAAATTGATTTATTCTGTTTTTTTCATGGCAAGAACTTTATACTTAAACACAGTTTTAAGCGAAAAAGGCACAAAACAGCTATTTCTGTGAAATATTTCTGCCAAGTAAATTCTGACACTTCGATACTTAAATTGTCCCTTAAAAAAAAATGGAACGTTGGGGGACACGGACATGATTTAGCTTGAGTCACCCTGGGCCATTATGAACATTGGGCAAAATTTATAGACACACCCTTATGACTAGATATGGTCAAAATTAATCCAGATGGCGTACCACACAGTTATGTTATACAATTTCATGCAAGACATCATCTTTTTTTTTTACATTATCTTGAGCACATTTGTGGCATTATAAACTGGTGAAAGGACAAAACATTATTCACTTGAAAAAAAAAACTTTGGGGAATAAATAATTGTACTTTCTTTGTCATGCAGATAATCAATGGAAGAAAGTTGTGTGCTAAACTGTCATTTCACATTTTTATACTGTTATTGGAGTAAGATCAAGCGTGCCAAAGTGCTGTCAGCCATGTAGCTTTCCCAAATAATCTGAAGTGTCTTATGTTTTTTTTATAATAAATGGATAAGGAAAAGTAAGTATGCATACTCGTGGTTACTTTAACTCATTGGCCAGGAATATGGTATTTCTTTCTTTCTCTCGTATACACAACCATGAAGCAAATAATGAAATAAATCGCTCTACAGCAGTGCATACTAGGCAAAACATGAGTTCAACACTTATTAACAAAAAAATATACCGCCCGTATGTTCCCACGGGGGGGGGGGGGGGGGTTTAAGTGATCTAAAAAAAAAAGTTAAGCAACACGAACATGATGTCACGAAATAACACATGGTTTTCAATGCCCTCGCTGAACACGTGGAATCCACGGGCCATCAAATTGACTGGTCAAACACACGTTTTCAGGCCAAAAAAAAAAAAGCAAGCATTATGCCTGCACGTGGAATCTCTGCACACAGAGAACTGCACACGCTGAAAAGGAGTGGTGGGACGCTTTTGACAATGCACTCTCGGTGCTTATGTCAGGCACTTAACTGGATACCAAGGAGAAACAATGACTTGGTTTAGATTGGTGAACTGCCCTCTGAGAACTCTGCCTTATGTTGCACTATCATAAGGGGAAAATGAAGGTTCAAGTTTCATTCTGAAATTTCATGCTGAAATCTTTGCGCGTGGTCAGAATTTTAAAAATGAACTGTTTGTATTTTATGCAATGGCTCGAGAAAATGTTCTGAAACTTCGCATGCTAAATCATGGCACCTACAGATGACAATGAACTCCATCTTTACCAATTAGAAGCTACATAGGACTCAGTACATGCCTTCAAAATTTATGACATCACGGGGTTTGGTGTGGAAATCTGAAAGTGGCATCTCCACCCGCATTTTTTGGCGTGCTTTCTCACATACCAAACTAAGAGTTGTGCTAAGAGTGGTGTTTTCTGGATTGTACTTTATTAATAGGTAAAAATCATTGTGCTCGTCAGTATCCCTTTAAATACACTGTCTCTTTTATGGCTCTTATTATGAACAAAGCTCCCGCATCAAATGCCGAAATGTCAGTGCACTGTACTCTTTAGATTGGTGTATTCTTTTGCCTTTGCACTAAGAAGCAATAGTTATTTACAGCCTTTTCTTTTCATGCCTATTTGAGCTCTTCACAGTAGTCAGCCAAAAGAGCAATTTTTTAAGCTTTGATCAATATTAATGCTTATTTTTGTGACGGTTGCCCAGACTGCCATCAGTTTCCAGGACCTGGCCAGGTTTTTCAGAAATTCCCTAACTTTTCCAGAAGGGTCCCTATTCCCTGACTTTTCCAGGTTTCCCAAGCTTTCTAGGTTGGTAGACACCCTGGGCACGATACGCGAGCATGCGCAGTGTGATGTGGACATCGCCGCCGACGCACTACATCGTGCGACTAAGAAATGCACCTCATTGAATACAAGAAATGTGACATAGCGCTTAAGTGGAGACAGCCGCCAAGTGCAAACATCCTGTTCACTGGAAAATTGCGTGCGTTCCCTCACAAGTAATAGTCATGTTCGGTGAGCTTCGTGTGTCTATTCGGTAATGACAACATACATATTACGAGTAGGCTGCAGTCAATGCATTTCATTCACAGACAATCGGCTCGCACTGCTCACAAGAAATCACCGGTGGATACATCTGTACGACGCTTTTGGCCGCCTATCTACACTCATAGAGTTAATCTGTGTACTGACTCTCACACTAGACCGGTGAAGGTGCTGCCCCCTGTCGCCCCAGTAGCCCGATCCTGGGACAACATGATGGGTCACTCCCCACTAAAATTTGCGATAAACTCCGATGGTAGCCCGTGTCCCGAAAACGTTTCCAGTGAAGAACGGTGGTTTTCAAGGGCTTGAAACCACTTCTGTGCCCAGCAGCAATACAAGAGAGTCTATTTGCACATCGACAACTTGGGGTCCCGTAACCCAAGGTAAATGTCACATATGACGTCAATGGTAAAGCGATAAACTTCAAATGACACTGAACTGGCTACGTCTCTTACAGCGAGTTCGAGGTCACGTGAAAAAAAAAAAAAACATTTTGTTGAAATTATGGTTCGCTTGCACTATTTCAAGTTAACTTACATTCTTGTGGTCGTCATTCACGCTGCATTAGTTCGTTCAATTGGCGGCTTGACTTACATGTTACTCTGTTGCGCGGCGATAGCCCGCTTTCTCTTGCGTTTCGGCCGAAGAGTAATAATATTTGTCAGAGTTGAAAATCCCAAAACCAGACCAGATTAGTAGGCATGCCGTAGTGGAGGGCTACACTAATTTCGACCACCTGGGGTTCTTTACTGGGCACATGAATCTCAGCACACGAGTCTCAAACATAATTGCCTCCATCAAAAACGCTACCGCTACGGATTCCACACCGCGACCTTCAGATCACCTAGGCAAGGGACCAGAGCGAGTGCTCGTATCACTGGCCAGTCGTGTGTTTCCGTGCGTAAAGTCGTACAGTACAGCTCACTAGTCAGCACATTTGTCTAAAACACCGAAAAGGCGCTCTCCGGATAGCACTGGCGAGGTTTTCTGATTTGCGTAATGAAAGAGCCAAAATTCTGGCATATACAAAGCCTCCAAGGTTAAATGCTTAAGTGTGGGCTTTCAACATCTAGATATCGGTACACATGGCGCCAGTGCGCAGCTGTGCAATTAAAAGATCGTGTCTCAGTATTAAGGACGACGCGTACGAATGCGAGGAAGTGAATTTGTGAGCCGCGTCGCTGAAGCACGAAATATCTCCGTAGCTGTGCGTACCCAGTCGACTGTGCACAACGACACGTTTTCTGGGGAAACTGAACAGAGTCCGAACGATATGTCTTGTTCTGAGACAGCTAAGGGAAGCGTAGCGTCCCTGTCGTCGCGCGAGGTCGATGCGGCACGATCAGCTGTGCCGAGAGCCTACTTCTGAGATATGATCGTCGAACACGATCAGAACAGGGAAGCCCACCACCTGCTGAGACTCTATTCAGTTTCTCCAGAAGGTGCCTCGTTGTGCGCATTCGACTAGGTACGTGCCGCTACGGACATACTGAAACACGATCTCTTATTCGCACAGCTGCGCACACAGCAAGAGAACGCACCCCGAATTCTGCAACACGCGGTTCATTTCGTTAATTAAAACGGCAAACGTCGCACACGCGAATAAGTTCATCACACACGCACTCGCGAAATGAGCGGCAGGTGACATGCAGCACGGACGACATAAAGCCCTTACGGGGAAGCACAACTACAGGGGCAAATTTATTCGCCAAATCTGGCGGCAGTCTGGCAACAACCACCCTAAAGCCTGGCAACTGAGATATGCAACGCCAAACAGAACCTTACCGACGCCGGACCGAATGGCCATCGGGAGGACTCCGCGCTGTACAGCTGTAGACTTCAGTAGATTACTTTGATGCAAAGTATATGGCGCCAACAGCCGTGTCAACAAATGCCCCAAACATCATCCTAAGTATGTTTGCCGACACACAACGGCAGGGCGCCGACATGACCGGCCGTTCATGTAGGATCCCCATGCACAACACACTTGGCACTCCCCTCGACAAAACTCATATAACTCTCGCACCTACACAACAACGTCCGTGAGCGTCACAGAGGAGTGGCTTCGATTCCGCGGGCTTCATTTACCGAGCTCTTCAATCCGACAGGGCACATAGCGTGGTAACAAAACGCGCCTTTCCCGCCTGCTTTTGTCTCTCCCGTGGAGAAGTCTAATAGAATAAAGAATCGGAGCAGAACAGGAGTACAGTGTAGTAGAACGGGCAGTGGAGTGAACGAGGCGGCCGCGCCGCGTCTTGGCTGATTCTCCGGCGGGTGACAGCAGCGACGGCGCTGTAGTTCCATGGTACTAGAGATCGCGGGAGCGTCTGGATTGGGAGCGCGCGCGCCCGAGCCTGCGAAAGCGTGTAATTGCTCGTTTACAGCGTATTTTATGCGTTTCTGAGCCTTTATCAGTGAACGCACCTGCTTCGCGCCATGTTGCACGAGTAAATATGCAGGCACGCCGAAATTGCGTCGATACATTCACTGTTTCAAGAGCCTGCCAACCCAGAAAAAAAAAATGTCAATCGAAATTTGCACGGATCCGCCTATCTCATTACTCAATCAGCACTTTGAGCTGCGTTACATCATAGGTGGCTACTGGCGAACTGCAAAGAAAGGAGAAGTATCAAAACTATGATTAAATCACACGCTCGTTTTGTCAGCAGTCTCTACGAAGTCCAGAGCACAGTGTTCCTCATATGAGCCTATATGCGCTCGATTGTTTCGATCACGAGAAATTTGAGTGTAAGTAACGTTGTCACAACATTAATTGGTGACGACTCTTTTATCATGCCAGTTTTGTGGAAGATAATAATTATTGCTTTCCGAAAGGCCTATTACATTTTAAACTTATTAAAAACAACACTCAAACATATTGAAAAGTGTCAATTGTATATATAGCCTATCTGTTAATCAGCGTAAATTCATTGTAACCATTTCTGATTTTGTATCGACAGCTTAAATTGTGCTGCTTTCCAAATATTTTATTGGCGTACCGCCATTGCAAGCGAGCAAGTTTATGACGATGTTTTGTATTATAAGCGTCAAAACACTTTTGACGCCTATTAATAGGCGTCAAAAGTGTAGGCAGGCAGTGGTGCATCTTGTTTTGCGAAATTTACCTTCCTTGTATATGTACACAGTAAACACACACACACACACACACACACACTATTTTTAGGCGGTGCATTTCTTGTCCAACTGCGTTAGACTTGAGCTAGTTTTGAGACCTCATACTCGAAAAGGTGAAATCTACAGTGCGCATTTGTAGATACACGCTATGTTCATGTTCTGCTTTGCCAACTGTACACTAGTGGCGCAGGGCTACCCAGAATTTCTTTTTCTTTTTTTTTTTGAGGGGTGTGGTGTGCAGCAGAACGCCCAACTTTGGCAATTGGTGATCGCTGTGAATGCCTGTAAATATTTTAGTATACCCTGAAAAGTTAAATTACCGAAACATTTCATGATGTAGGGGGTACAGATTTCCTTCCTCTACCCTCTTTCCTTGTGACTTTCTGGTTCTGAGTGCGTGTGACACAGTATTTGTTTTCTAATCTCACAGCTTTCTGAGCACAGCTAACTTCCAATAAAGCAGCTCAGTTATTCTGAATATTGTAGACGCCTAACCAACGAAGAAAGTGTTCAGAGAGAAGAAATTAGTATAGGACACACCTTTTCTGAATTATTTTCGATCTCTCACAAGGACTTTTATGGAGCTCAAATTCAGTAGATGGGCGTGTCATACTTCGAGGGCTATGGCATGATGTGCTAGACATGAATGATTGGCAGGTGTGAAGAAATCTGCATAAAGAAATCGCGACGGAGGAGCCGAAGCGCATAGCAGTTCCTGCACGCGGCGTGCGGCTCTTTCAGTACTATTCGACTGCAGCGCCGCCGCTGCGGGCAACGCGGTAGGGATCAGGCAGCGAGGCGTGGTCACGCCACTCAACACTTCTAGTACAATCTAACAATAGTCTCTCTACCCCTCCTTTTTTTCTTTTTGTTTTGCTCACTTGACCTGAAAGCCGCTCGACAAAGCGTAGCAGGTGTTCTGTGGTTAAAGCCGATTGCTATGACGTCACATGTGACGTTTAACTTTGGAAGTGTGGCAGTTTGGGTCAGTGTTACAGAACTAGACACTTCTACCACACTCTAACCATACTCTAACAGTGTACTAGAAGGAGGAATGTGCCGTGCGGCGCCGGAAAAAGGGTCTTTCTAGCCATAGAGCTGCTCACAATGAAATTCAAACTCTATGCTTCTAGCAATGACCACTCTGCGCGCCACTAGAGGGCGCTGCTAGCTAAAGGAGAATAAAGCCCCTAGATCTAGGGGCTTTAAAGGAGAATACAGGAGGTCACGCTAGAGATAACAAATAAATACAAATATCTGGGCGTATGAATAAACAATGGGGCCGAGTACCTAAGGGAACACGAAATATACGTGTCGACCAAAGGTAACAGGAATGCAGAGGTAATGAAAAACAGGGCACTGTGGAATTACAATAGGTATGATGTTGTGAGAGGAATATGGAAAGGGGTCATGGTTCCTGGTCTGACGTTCGGCAATGTCTTGTGCACGAGATCAGAAGTTCAAGGAAGATTAGAAATTAAGCAACGTGGAATAGGTAGGCTTGCCTTAGGAGCTCACGGGAATACACCAAATCAGGAAGTACAAGGTGATATGGGATGGACATCATTTGAGGGCAGGGAAGCCAGCAGCAAGATAAAATTTCAGAAGCGATTGAGGGAAATGGGGGAGGAGCGTTGGGCTAGGAAAGTATTCAGCTACTTGTACATGAAAAATGTCGATACAAAATGGAGGAAGCGAACCAGAAAATTGACTGGTAAATATTTGGAAAACAGCAGGGGCCAAACCAAAAAGAATTATAGGTTAAGAAGAAGGTGAAGAAAGCAGAGATATGTGGAAAATTGGCGTGATTAAGAAGTCCGCACTAGAGATCTATCGAACTTTTAAGCAGGAAATAGCCAAAGGAAGGATCTGTGATAATACTCGGGGTAGTTCTCTACTGTTTGAGGTCAGGACGGGAGTATTGCGAACAAAGACATATCGGGCCAAATACGAAGGGGTAGACACGGTATGCAGTGCGTGTGGAGAGGAAGAAGAAACTGCCTAACACTTGATAATGTTCTGTAAAGGGCTTCACCCTGTAGTTCAGGTTTATGGCGCAGAGTTTTTCAAAGCACTGGGGCTTAGGGACAGTGAGGGCAAAATAGACTTTAAGCGGGTAGAATTAACTAGAAGGAGGTTATATGATTGGTGGCTAAAGTCCAGGCACGATTGAAAATTGAACCCTTCGCTGCAAAGTACGAATCCTCAACCTACCCATTTAAGGGGAAAAAAAAAATCTAATTTTTGGTTCATTAAGTATTATGGCTTGGTGGTGCTAGCCACCGCCCGATCTAGAGGGTACAAACATATCCATCCATCCGTAGAGACAGAACGCCTACCAGTTTGGCGTAGAGTGTCTGGGTATGGTACCTTTAGGTAGGTAAACTAAAGATAGCATAGAGTACCGTAAGTAACTTTAGGGGAGCGGGCCATGGTGCGTCCGATCCGCACCATGGCCCGGGAGCTCACCAAGCAGAGGTGGAAGAGCGATCACATCTCTAATTTTGGATTTTAAAATTAGGCCTCACCCAAACGGGTAAGGCCTCCCAAAAATTGGCCTATAGGCTCATTGGAGTGTCCCTCCCCACGGTAATCTTTAGTAAAAGGCGAAAGATTAGTGCGTAGAAATTGAGGAGAGACCTGAGCGATGACCGAGAAAGTGGCCATGCCGGCGCATGGGACTGTGTCCGACCACACGAGAAAGTCAAGGTTACACATATGTTATTTGCTGAAAATCAACTTTGTATGTTTTATTGATCTAAACGAACACATCTGGATGTGTTTATTGAAGCAATGGAAGCAGTTCTCTTAATAAATGTACATCAATATCTATTTTATTCTGGTGGAAACATTAAAAGTCGTGCGTCTCTCTATACGCGTAGAACGTTCCAAAATTTCCTGTTGAAAGCGTGATCACGCGCTGTGGTGCTGCCCTCTACTGTACACTCAGGCAACTGTGCGTTGAAGCGCACAACTTTGTCCTGTGGCGCTGCTGGCGCCTGCCCTGTGCCAAAAGGGATTAGGAGCACCTACTTACTTACTTACTTAACTAGAAAGCACGCCTGATTCCTTCTGCCTCCGAGTGACGGCGCCAGAAGTAGCCAAACAAAAACAAATGTGCGCGTTTAGTATTCGTGTTGAGTTGCAGAAATGGTGCCTAGCAGTGTTTTAAAGGAGCACTGACATCAAACTCGAGATGTGCCCATCGTTCGATCGATTGGTATGCACAGGTCTTCTTGGCCGACTTTGAACGGCATGAGTGGTAGCATATGCAGTAACTCTAAAGAAGCGCTACGCTCGCTGCCGTGATGGCTCTGTGAGCGGGCTCTGTAGCCGATTTGTGTGCCGTTTCGAATTGTTGTTGGGGCTTTTTATACGATAAATGCCATGTAATGGTGGAACTCAGCCCTTTCGCATAGGCACTAGCCGTTCTCTCGCTGTAACGAGCGTACACATGAACACCCAACTACGAATCGGTGAAGTTATTTACACCAGTCGAACTTTCTTTTTTTTTTTTTTTTGATGTTACTAAATTTTATGCAGTAGCGATATACTTTCAAATAGTACTGGGTGAATTTCAGCGTATGAACTTATAGAGCTTAAATAACTATTTTTTGTTTGCTTACAAGCGTCACTGTTTGGTCCTGTGCGTCTTATATCTTTAGTATTGCTTCGCATACTAATTAAGCGGACTCGAAGGACTCCCAATTCTTTCAGCTACTGCGCTTCTTATGATAACTGCTGATATTTTACTTTCATTCAGCTCAAGGTAGTTTTCGCGCTGCTTAGCTTGGCTTTCGTTCTCCGAAGGTTACGTCATATATTTCGAGGACTTTGTTTCGTTTCTTCTGACATCGTCTTCTGGAAAGCTGGTTCAGTACCAGTTTCTCTGATATTTGCAGTGAATACAAGCACTGAAGTCATTTACAGCAAGCGTGCAGTTCTTTGAAGAGAACACTTCATTACACGATGGGCATTACCAGCTAGAGGCTCCATTAATTCTTACGCCGGGACACGAAGTCAATTTGCTCACATTGTTAATCAGCAAATCTGCATCTACTCGTGAGTTCTTGGCACCACTTCTTTCCTCTTAGGAGAACTTCGGCGGTTGCAGAACTTTCAGCTGCTTGCTTCCTAATCTGAATGAGTTCTTTATATGCTACCTTGCTATGTTCAACAGCTATAGCGTCAGCTACCAACTCGGCAAAAAGAAATGAATCCCCAACACACGGCAGGAAAATTTCCGACCACTCATTAGGAATCGCGAGCTTTGAAAATTACAGCTCTTGAAATTCTTGGTCACGAACTTTATCAGCGGCACCGTCTCGGCCAACATCATTCGACATTCTTTGGCATTTCTGTTCAGAAACATCGTCGACTGAACTGCCTTGATCAACGTCATTCGACTCAACTTCTGACAACATGTTGCTCTCACATCTTCACTTTGGTTTGGGAAGAATCTGATCGCTAAGGTTAATTGCGATCCTTCCGTTTTTTTTTTTTTTTGGCAGCGATTCTGGGAGGCACTTGGGAGAATCGGGGAAAATTGTAGGAATGGCATCTTTTGATAAGAGTGGTATGTGTCTGGGGATCTCAATAACCTTAGGTATGAACCTTGCTTCGAAGTGTAGCTCACAAACAGCGCTGCTCTTGTCGAGGACTTGATCACCTTTCTCGATGTTACGCGACCATTCTTCCCGGCGGTCAGCTTCAACGGCACTCAAAATAAGGAGTGCGCCTCTTTACACGAGTGGTAGCCACTGTTACAATTTGGCACAAAGCAAAAGTCCTCGCTTGTCCCACCGTCTCCCAGCCATATTTTTCTTATTCCAGTAGACAAGTGCACACAACACCGTAATTTCTTCCCTCACGTTTGTGGAAGAAGGATGCTCACGTAAAGCACAATCTGGCGAGGAGCAGAGTTATTTAATGCGAGAAATACCGGTAACGAGGAACTGGTCACGCGTTAACAGCCGAACTGACAGCGCAACATGTGCTGACATACGCGCTCCTCTAAAGTTACAACACCTATACACTACCATTTATGATGCTATCTTTAGGTAGCATATACAGACATAGAGTTTCCTAATATACATTTTAATTAATTTAGGAAACTCTATGTGTACCGTAACTCTAAACGCTCCTCTGGATCGCAGCGTCCCCTAGCTTAATTCCCAGGTTGTACATCAACCTAGCTGCTTCATCGCTGCGGGGCCCCCCTCGCCTCCATTGTAACGCGCCGCGCACGGCACACTTCGCCTTCTAGTACACTGTAGTTTGGACTAGTTGGTGTGACATATGACGATAGTTATAGCGCGAGAACAGAACGCCGACAAAGAGACAATTGTCCTTCTTGTCTCTTGGTCGTCGTTTTCTTCTCGCGCTATAACTATCGTCATGTTTAACCTTGGGTCAATTGAGTGACCCCCAGCTGTTTATGTAGTTGAGGTGCAAATAGACTCTTCCCAGCGATTCACTGAGCCAATTAACTGAGCGATACACGCGGCAAGTTCAGAAACTGCTTACATCGTCTTGACTGCCGGTTAATTCTTGTACAGCCGTGCGCAGAGCAAAAGGCCAGCGTAGTGATGAGACGAAGTTTCCGCCCTGAGCGTTAGCCATAAACTTGGTAAGAAAGGCTAGATTTTTTAGAACAGGAATTACGACTGACGCGGAAAACCTGCACACACTGACTGTGCGAGCATCCGCGCGTCGTCTTCCCTAGGGCGGCTTGGCGTAAACAAACTGCAACATGCATTCTAGTAGCCATAAACTCTGTACGTGTTAGTATACCTGCATAGAGTTATAATATACTGAGTAGCTGTGCCACGCAAGATTTATTTTAACCTCCTTGAGCTGCACCATGGACCCCATAGAGTACACCATGGAGTACACCCAGCGAGCACTATAGAGGAAGGAAATTTGAAGAACACCGATTCACATCGCGTCTTGCGGGCGCCGTCATCTGGGCATCAAAAATAACAAAAACAAACGCGTCATGTGATAGCGAACGCAGAGAACGCAGCATATTTCTCTGGGCATAGCCTTCGAAATGAGTTGGAGGCGCACCGAATAGTTTCTCAGCAACTTTGTGAAAAACTCCCATTCGCACGCCGAGCGTGTAATCGAGAAAAAGCATGACCTTCGAAATTGCGTGCGTTCGCCATCTCGGAGCTCTTGAAAATATAAGGGTAACTGTTCCTCGCTCCCACGGATCTTCTGACGCGGACACGCGCGAAGGACGAAAGCTTGCCAATCGTAGCTACGTCATAAAAAAAAAAGAATGCGACACGTCATATGAAAAAGAATTACACCATCCCCCGCTAAAGAGAGCCCTGTGCGGATGCGGAGAAGCGGGCGATAACGCCTACACTGGCTGCAGGATTGACGCTGGCTTCCGTCGCGGCGTTGCGCAGAGAGAACCTGGGAGGCGCAAAGCACGCAGTGGACCGGTGTTTTTCACTGGGACAAGCCAGTCGCTGCTAATGGGCAATGAGATGGCCTCGGCAGCTGTAAGACTCCAACTGGTCACGGATATTCGCTTTCCACTTTTAGTTAACGCGCACGCTGCAAATTTCGATTGTTCATCAACGCATAGGAGAAATCTCCCACCGGCGCTACCTTGGAGTTCAAGATGATCCAGAGCGGTGCTGGCCAGTCAACTGTTGGGGACGTGCGAGCAGTCGTTTTTTTTTTTAAATCAAGAAACTCGCTATCAGACGCTGCCTGCATAGGCGGTGAGAGGGGAGGGGACGCACATGCGCAATGGGAATGCAAACGTTGCTGGGAAGGCTGCCCAAAGAAGTCAGAGCAAGCGTTATTTTGCTAGCAGCCGCTGCCTGCGTTGGCGTTGCGAGGTTACAGTGCACTAGAGGGGAGCCCTCTAGTGCACTGTAGCGAGGTGAGAGGGACGGGGACGCGCATGCGCAATGTGGGTGTAAACGCCGTTGGGAGGAATGCCTAGAGTTGCCTATAGAGGAAAGAGAGGGGATAGCGAGCGTTGGCTAGCTGACGCTGTCGGCGCTGCTAGGCAAGAAAGGTAAAGGAAACAAGTAAGAAGAGGTAGAAGGAAAAAGATAAAGACATTGGGTCCGAAGTCTAAACAGACTTTGAGAGAGGTAGTGAGCAGAACAATAATCGATGGTGAAGTCCCCGATGAATGGAAACTTAACAGGATGAGCATGATCTATAAAGGAAAGGGGGACAAAGCTGACATAAAAACCGTCCTATAACAGTGACATCAAAGGTCTACAGGCTGGTGATACAGATTATAAAGGAAGGACTGCAGGCATGGATAGAGGATGAGGGGGTGCTTGGGGAACTGCAGAATGGGTTTCGGAAACACAGGAGGCTGAAAGACAATCTGTTCTCACTGACGCAGTGCATCGAAATAGCAGAAAAGGAACTCAGGCCCTTGTGGCTAGCATTTTTCGGTATCAAGGGAGCGTACGATAGCGTGGTTAAGAGGACTTGTGGGGAATACTGGACACACTAGGTGTGGAAGATGGAGTCACTAATCTTTTAAAGGATATCTATAAAGGTAACAAGGTAGTTATAAAGTGGGAAAAACAGGTATCCAAGCCTGCAGAGGTAAAAGGGGGCTTAGGCAGGGGTGTCCCCTGTCACCCTTGTTATTCATGATGTACCT